GCCGATTCCCTTCACAGCAGGCCACGTACTGCTGTTTAGGGTGCTTTGGTGCGCTTTCTCCCGTTCCTACCTACCATTTTTCTGAATTTTCCAAGCTTCTTAACAAAGTTTATGGAGTTTATAGCTTTTTTCAGAAGCGCACCCCCTCCTTCCGCTTCCTGAGAAGAAACAACAAACGAAATCTTTCTCAATGGCAAGTGCCCCCCAATCTCAATCCAGCGACCAGATACGACTCCCTCGCTAGGAATCCCTGACGTACAGCGTGTCCTGATTCTTAGTAGTCTTACAGGAACTAGTTCTTGCTATCGATTATATCATACTTCATAAGTTGTATCTCGTTTTTGGCCGGGCCGAGATGCCAATGACGTCCACTTCGCACATTTCGTCGTTTCCACTGCGGCCGTGTCGCCATCGTCGGCGACTAGCGAGAAGGAAACGGTTCTTTGTGTGTGTAGCATCGATGGCCGCGCACGTGCTTGAGCGGTGTGAAGGTGAAGGACTGCCTGACAGGCCCGGTGTTTTCAACTTTATGTCATAGCATGGTCGTACATTAGTCGTTGCTCTGTGTTTTTTTGGACCGAGTATATGCGCCCTCGTTTAATGCGCCTTTTAATTTCAGGCGTCATCGAAGATGCGGAATAAGAGGAAGGCGGTCAAGAAGTAAGTTTTTCTTTCTCTGATTGCTCACCTTTTTGCTTTTTTTTCGCTGTTTTATTTAAGCTTCGTTCATGCTTTGCGTCAGTCTACCAGAGTTTCGTTTGCTCAACGCTGGCAGACGTTGGCGCACTCTGGCAGAATTTAGCGTTCAATAGACACCCTCCTTATCCCTGAGCCAGAGTAGGCGTGGCATTTGAACATGGCAAGGAACTGGTTACTCGTGATATATTCCAGTCCGAGGCAACTGTCATCTTGTTCTTTGTTGGACACAGAGACGACAACGATTGTGTCAAGATAAAAATATCTCAATAGAAACACAGACTCCTTCAGGTTAGGTTGAAACAGGCGGCCACGCCACCCGATCTCACTGATTTCGTGTATAGATAGATATCTACACTTTCTTAATGGCTGGCGCTGGCGTGCGCTCGAAACAATGGTGCGCTGACGCAAAGTATGAACGCAGCTGATATTGTTTGTTAACTGCTGTTTAACGCCGCAGTACGCGATTCGAAAGCTATCACAAGAATGCTGAGTTATGGGCAAAAGTCGGACCACGGGCGGGATTCGAACCCGCATCTTCCGCTTTCCGTGCGAATGCGTTCCCTATTACGCTACCGAGGCCACCTTTGACCACTCAGCTCAATGGCTATTTGTGCCATAACCTTACAGCACTCACACGTTCAACGTGATGAGCCGGTTAGCCGATATCGGCAGTGAACCGCAAGGCTGAAGGCTTTTTACAAGTTTCAAGCTGATATTGTTTGTTAACTGCTGTTTAACGCCGCAGTACGCGATTCGAAAGCTATCACAAGAATGCTGAGTTATGGGCAAAAGTCGTATCATCACGTACTGCGGCGTTAAACAGCAGTTAACAAACAATATCAGCTTGAAACTTGTAAAAAAAAAAGCCTTCAGCCTTGCGGTTCACTACCGATATCGGCTCTTCACGTTGAACGGTGTGAGTGCCTGTAAGGCTTATGGCACAAATAGCCATAAGCTGCAGTCGGTCAAAGGCTTGGCTCGGATTATAGCGTAATAGGGAACGCATTCGCACGGAAAGCGGAAGATGCGGGTTCGAATCCCGCCCGTGGTCCGACTTTTGCCCATAACTCAGCATTCTTATGAACGCAGCCTTACTTATTTCCCCGTATTATGAGGAAATGTTGTGTCGGGTCTAGTATAGCCTTGAGCCAAATGATCGTTCAAGTGGGAGTATGTGAGTTTGTGAAAGAAGTGGCCATGAGAATAAGCCAATATTTGCATTTCGTGGTTGTTGTTCGTTTGTCAAGGTTCAAGCGTTAGAGGCAGAGCAAGGCTGTGACGCAGAGGGCAGGCAGTACGCTGGGGAACCCCAGTAATGATCATATTCTTTTTTCGCTAGAGGGAAAGGAAGGGTCGTGTTTGGCCTAGGAGGTTTTTTCTTGACAGTTGTTTGACGGATCCGCAGTGTTGAAAAACTCCTCTCCCTCTTAGGAGAGAGAGTGTCGTATTCGCTAGTCGCCGAAAGAGGTGAATGTGGGCTCCAACAGGAATTTGAAGGTTTCTTATTCAGTCAACATTACTCGCTAGGCCGGGTTCGAGCGCACCCTTCAATGATTTTGAAAGAATTACGGGTAGTCCGTAATTTTCTCGTTCATGTTTTTCACCGACATTGGAAGCTTGTTAATGGAATCGGAAGCCATTAATTCGGTCAATTTAAGCTCTCTGTAGTAAAATAACCTTTGGAAACGGTAGGCTGCGTTTATACTTTGCGGCAGCGTAGCGTAGCGTAGCGCAGCGTAGCGTAGCGCTTCCAGCGTACGCCAGCGGCAGTGCCGAAGAGAGGATGCATATCGATCTAGCTTCATCACCAGCGTACACCAGACGGCACAGACTAAGCGCGTACGCTAGCGGCACGCTAGCGTACGCCAGCGTTTCTCCAGCGTTTCACCAGCGTTTTGCTAGCGTTTGCAGCGGCAGGGGAGTAGAGACTATGGGAGAGCTGGAGGGTACAAAACACATCGATTGCGCGTCTCTCACTCGCCCTTAGTCTCTACAATGCACATCGCTTCTGCGTCTCCGACGGCCCATAGTCTCTACAATGCACATCGCTTCTGCGTCTTCGACGGCCCCATAGTCTCTACAATGCACATCGCTTCTGCGTCTTCGACGGCCCCATAGTCTCTACAATGCACATCGCTTCTGCGTCTCTGCCTGCCACATAGTCTCTACTCCCCTGCCGCTGCAAACGCTAGCAAAACGCTGGTGAAACGCTGGAGAAACGCTGGCGTACGCTAGCGTGCCGCTAGCGTACGCAGCGTGCCGCTGGTGACGCTGGTGAAGCTAGATCGATATGCATCCTCTCTTCGGCACTGCCGCTGGCGTACGCTGGAAGCGCTACGCTACGCTGCGCTACGCTACGCTACGCTACGCTACGCTGCCGCAAAGTATAAACGCAGCCTAAAAAGTCATGTTGTGTTGCAACATCAGTCTGGGTCTTCCGTTAATTTTATTCGATTGGAATGAATTTCTTTTCGACTATTTTGCGCAAGTGGGACTGGTGTCAGATAACCTCAGTCAGCACTATTCTTATTTCAGTGCCCCACTCCTCGAAAATTTCGAACCTACTTTTAGAACATGTTTCTGACGAAGCGAATTCAGGCAATTTCTCACGCTCGTCAAGCCGCGTCCATACTTCGTCGCCCTTGCGGTTTTGAAACGAAATCTGTTGCTGACCGCGCTTTATCGATTTAATGCTGCGGCAGTCAAAGTAGTTCTTCCCTAGATATGCCTAGATATGATTTATAAGGTGTCACACCACTTCACGAAATGCGGCCCTCATTTGGCGTCAGCGTTTTTGGAGAGGCCGTTACTCCACTCGTTCTTGCTGTTTTTAGTCTGAGGCTTTGAAAAGAAAGAATCGCCAATCCGGTGAGAGGAAGAGCATAGAAGACAGGAGTTGCCGTGGTCACCCCACTATAGACTCACCTTCCCTCCAACTACTTTTTGCGTGATAGTCTCCTCTCTGAACACAAGTACCTCATCTGTTGGAAGCGAAAATCCTGGCGCCCGAGCCGCAGGTGCCATCCTTAGGGGCCAGTCTTGGTACCAGCGTGTCATCTTTTGGACTAGATTTATTTTCGGGGATTGAGTTCTGTCAAGATATGTCTAGTCTGGAAGGGTAGACCTGTCAACAATAGATAGTCCCTATTTAATTTCCCTCTTCTAGTGGTCACACGGCTCGCAACGATGACGTTCTGGCCTGCACGGCATCGCCTTCTGGTGAGAAAGAGAACTATCAGAGTGTGGACAAAGAGGGGAAAATTCGAATAACCGAACAAGCGCAACGATTCGCGATTGCGTACAGTAGGGCGCAAGAGGTTTGTATTCGAATTAATTGAATTCATTTTGATTCTTTGGTTCTTTTACTGTTCGTTTTTTACGTTCTCAAGTTCACTATATGCGCATTAAATGTTGACGTTGCTGTGGTTGGAAACCTTTTCTGGGGAGGGGGGGCCAGGTAAGGTATTGTATTGAGAAAATTTCTTGCTCCTTATGTGAAACTGGGATTGTCATAATGGGACTGACTCTTTGCCTAGACCTCCGAGGTGAGTGGACTCATGTCTTTTTGTAAAAATTGACCAGCCCGGTGTCATCAAATACCGCCTTCTTAGTCCGATTGATCCGATTCACTTTAAGTTGTTTTGCTTTGCTCGAAAGCCTCACGGCTTGATTGTTGTTTTGCCTCCGATTGCCAATTATGGGCCACTCTTGGTGATTTCTGAGTGGGACAGCATGGGACTGTTACCCTTGAAGCTCGGCTGTAGCTGACATCATAGGCTCTGTGGCTGGGGAGTTTGGGTTTTTGGTATTGATTTACTAGCAATTATATAGTTTCTAAAGCAAGCCCGAAAGTCCAGAAATGGTAAGTTGTGCGGCTCAAATACTAATGAGAGATGGCGAATAGCACATACGTAAACGAAAAAAAGCGGAGAAACGATCTTCAGATGTCTTTATAAATCCCATGCCGAATCGCGCTTGTACGTGCATAAGGCAAAGAAAGGGCGTGGTCGGACGAGCTCCCACTTTTTAGTGTCCTCATCTCCCTTATCACCTCATTCTCACTATTCGACATGGAGAAAGCTGGTAGTGGAACAACCGCATCACCAAGATACCTTTAGAAATGGAACCTGGGTGTAGCGGTGACAAGTGGGCGGAGCCATGACCTCATCGCGAGTGGGTCGCGCTTTACTAAAGAATTTTTGAGCTATGAGAGTGGTTGATCCTCCATGCTTGGCCCCTGAACATCAAGTGAACGTGGGGCGTGCCCATAAGTGCCGGAGCCCACTTGAGAGCTCATTTTCTTGAAATCTTTCAAAGAAATATAGCGGAATGAATAGTGATGTGTTCCGCTAATGAACCTCTTGGCGACATTTTGCTATAGAAGCATTTTTATTCTTGCTGTACAAAGCAGAATGTTGAGCAAATTAGTTTCAGAAATGTTTCAAACCGTAGAAAGGAGAGGTAGATCCCTCACTTTCTGAATGTTGCCCGTGATGCTTGTGAAAAATTTAGTGCTCTGGCAATCTTTTGAGTTTATGGTTAAACCGGTTTGCCACCCGCCCATGAAATGTGTTTTAACACGTCCATTAGCGCAGAGATTAATTCGTTACCTCTATTTGATTTGAACCGTTCTGGGGCTATTTTCAACGACCATGTGTTCAGAGTATCGACAAAGCAATTCGGGAGATTGCATCGACGACGATGAAAGACCCGACGGACGAGCCAAGGTGGCCACTGGCGATACGATTAGGTTTGAACTTGGTGCAGTTCTAGATGTTTGGGTATTCCCTAGGGTGTTTTCATGTTTCAAGCTGCGCTCACGGTTTTTTTTTCAGGATCGTACGAAATTTCTACTTGGTACAGTGCTCCGTATCCTCAGGAATACGCTCATGTTCCCATTTTGCATATTTGTGAATTCTGTTTAAAATATATGAAAACAGAAGCGATTCTAGCACAGCACATGGTACGTTTCCTCGTTGGTTGTTGGCACTGTATTTTTTGGGGCAGTTTGGCTCGTGAGGTCATTGAAGGGTGCTCAGCTAAGCTTCTACAGGCTCTCCTGTGAAGAACTGTGAATTCCTGTGGCTCACTGTAGCGATTACTTCACAGCTTCACAGGAGCTAACAGGTTTGACCAAAGTGAGACCTGCTAGTTAACGAGAACCAACAAAGGAAATCCGCGAAGGTGCCGGATGCCCCTTCAAGCCGGACAGTGCCCATTTTTTGCTTTGTTCCATTCTTCCAAAAATTCCTTCGGTTAGGCAGACAACCCATTTGTTCATTAATGTGCTGTCCTTTGTTGGTTAATTTGTTGAGAAGTGCTACGTCATGGCTGCTTTTCTGCGTGCTTTCATCGAGCAGGACTAGCAAGGCACTTTCTGTGTGCTTTTACGAAATATGATCCCCACCCCCTCGAATTTCCTATGCTGATACGGTCGCCCTCGACCTAGCATTTCTCAAAGTTTTACAAGAAGTTCCCAGTTTTTCTAAAACTGCCGTCGAGGGACTGAGGCCTCCACCAAGTGACCATTTAAAGTTTGGATGTAATTGTATCTCGAACAAATAAGTCCCCTCTCCCTCACTCCTCCAGCGACCAAATACGACCCCCGCTGGGGATATCCATCGTGTGAGAGCTACACTGCCCCTAAAACATGATGTGAATTAGCCGCACCTCTCCCGGCACCCCGAACACTTCACTTCCTAAACTAATTTTCTTCTAATACTTAGGTAGATGTTATCTGTAATCTCGACACTAAATTCCTTTTTGTAGAAAAAATGCGAATGGCGCCATCCACCTGGTAATGAGATCTATCGCAATAATAATGTTTCCGTATTTGAAGTAGATGGTAACGTCTCAAGGTGAGCCGGACATTTTCTTTTCTCTTTTTTTCTTTTTTCTTCTCATGTTTAGAGGTTTTAAGTTTCCTTTTTTTGTTTTTTCGGTGTTCACATTTATTTATTTAGGATATACTGTCAAAACCTTTGTTTAATAGCAAAGTTATTTCTTGATCACAAAACTTTGTACTACGATGTGGAGCCGTTTCCTTTTCTATGTTGTCACCAAGAATGATGACTATGGATTTCATTTGGTTGGATATTTCTCGAAGGTTTGTCAGGTTGAACCTTGATATTTTAGTTCTTCTCGTTATTTTTAAAAGAGAAAAGCTTTTTCGGTGCAATCCGGCTTATGATTGGGGAGGGGATTTCGCACCTCTGCTACTTCTTTCGACGTCTTCTTGTCGAACCTGTCCATTTAATGGAGACCTGTGAAATCTTATGAAGTAAAAGAAATGAAGTCGAAGTTTATAGAACCTACTCAACCTTGTAGGATCCGTCAACTCTTGTAAAGCAATGAATATGACGAAGGAAGTAGCTCAAGTGCGAAATGCCCCTCCCCATTGCGGAACTCATCAGCTTATTTCATTAAAGTTCTCCTTGAGCCTTACAAGTATCGTCGCATTATTATTCCATTTGTTGTCCTTTCATGGCATTTGGCAGTTCAGCTGTTTAATTTGTTGTTCAGTATTCCATAAAATGATTGTTTGTTGTAACTATTAATTATTAGCTTTTGTTAATCCGCTGCTGATGTGGTTTATAAATAGCAGTGAAATTGTGAATTTTTCAGGAAAAGTATAGTCAACAAAAGTTTAACCTTTCCTGCATTGTCACGCTGCCATGTTATCAAAAAACAGGGATTTGGTCGTTTTCTGATAGATTTTAGTGAGTTTTTGAGGAAATCTCATTTTTTTCTTGGTTTTCTTTCCCTTCATTCTTTTCCGGGCTGATAGCTTTTTCTTCTGGCGGTGGGGACACCTGTAAGGACTCATCAGCAAACCAAATCCTGTGAACTTACAGGAACTTGGTTAACACCCCCTGTAGGCCTTGTATCGGCTGTAAAGCATCTTGTGAGCTGCTGTCAAACTTGTCAAAATGACTGGTCAAGATTGGGGAAATGAGGGAAGTGGCGTTCCAATGACGTTAGTTTCACTTGGCCAAGCTCAGCACAAGTTTCCAGGGCTTCTAATAGGAAATGCAGGACTTGAAGGTTGAGACACGATAGTGGGAACGACAAAGAACAATGTGGAGCACCGCCCCATCCCCCTAAGTTACCACCGTGTTTTTTGTTTTTGCTTTCTTTCGATGATTTTCATAGTTAGATCGGATGTCAAAAATATGTGAAGTTTTCTCCTATCTCGTCAGCTGACACATAGATCGGGTACGCCGGAGCGGGCCGTTATCGATCTGGAGGGATTTCTTATGCTAGTTATGGCGCGACCGCTTTGTTTGAATATATTCACGAGCATGTTCCAAAGAATAGCACCAAGAAATTATTGCTCACTGGTAGGTTTTTGGGACTTGTTCCAACTTTGTTACCTAGCTTGATTTTTTCCGAGAAACATTCGTACAAAGTTCTATGTTCGCTAGACTACCTGGACTAAAGCTATCCCTAACATATTCCGCAGCGGTATCTTTTACCTTGTGGAACAGCGCTTTGCGGGGATATCCGCTCCATTTCATCATTTTGCGACGCGGTATCATTTACCTTGTGGATCAGCGATTTGCGGGGATATCCGCTTCATTTCATCATTTTGCCATGGTCAATCATTTATTTCATCAGTTCTCACTTTCATATGAAATGTGGCACTCCAGAAAAAAAAAACGTAACCTGATAACCTCACACCATGAAGAAATACTCCGAAGCATGTTAAAGCAACAATAAATAGCACTATTAACGTGCTTCTTGCCTTTAGTTTCTACTCAAATAATCTAGGATTATTTGAGTAGTGGACGATTAGACGAATGGGGATGATGTGGTCATTCTTGCTTAGTTCTTATTTAAAACTTCCGTTCAAATTTTATTCATTGTTATTGTATTTGTTGTGAACCCCGAATCACTGATTGATGATTCTTTTTGAAGATCTCGCTAAAGGCACTGGCATAGCAGTTCACGATATCGTTGAGGTTTTCGATGCGTTGAGATGGTTTCAGAAGCAAAACGGCAGGTATGACTGTATGAATTTTATTCCCTCCCCTATTTTTTGATTTTTCCATTTTCGTGAAAATTTTCTAAATCAAGCGGATCGTTTTAGTGTTGGGTTGGTGTTCAACTGGACGATGATTGATGCACATTGGAAAAAAGCGAAAAATGACAAGACAAGAATTTGGTTGAACGA